CGTACATATAATTATACATATATATATATATATATTATGTATATATATATATATATATGTATATAAATATATTTATATATTTCATTTTATTATATATGTAATTTTATTATATATGTATGTATATATGAATGTGTATAATTTTTAAATTTTTATTTTTATTAATTTTATTAATTTTATTTTTTATTAATTAATATTATTAAATATTAGATTTGATAATGTGGTATAGGGTTGATGATGTGGCATGTGACTAGAATGCCATGTCATCAGAAATATTATTATTTTTTTCGTTGAGTGTTTTTTTTTTTTGCCAATTTTTAAAAATATAGAGTTTTATTTGCCAATTTGTAAAAGTACATGATTTTTTTTATCAACAAAAAATTATAGAGTTTAAATTGTGACGAAGAAAAAGTACAGGATTTTTATTGAGATTTTCTCTATTAAAAAACTAAAATCAAAGAAATATAAGCAAATATATATATATATATATATATATATATAATATTTTATAATTATAATAAAAATAAAAAGAAATAATGGAATTCTATTTGTAGCCCAACGCCACCCATAAAATTCTCGCCTACCATCCGTGAAATCTGAGATTTTCCAAAACAATTGCTAATACTATGAAAAAAATATAAAAATATATCCCAAAATAAAACCACGTGCCTCAATAGCGCGTGCAAATACGCGCACACACGTGAGTTCACTCCCTAGAAAAGCATCAAAGTCCCGCCGATGCCCCGCGAGTGCACGACACGCGACATCTACATCAAGACTATGTAATACGTGCACGCACACTATGTAATTAGATATACATTTGTATAATGCGCGTTATATATATATGCGTTCTCATATATACATACATATGTATGCATATACGTGTACATATATGTATAAGCGTCTGCTTTCTCAGATTAAGGGGAAAGAGATACAGCCTCTAGAAGATAAGGACAAATCGCAAGGTGTAGTGTAGTTATCAACGGAGTGTTCATCGTCATCCTCAACGAATCCATATATTATCTGGATTCAATCGGAAATTTTTTGTTACTGCGCTCCTTTCTTCGTTTACAGTCTTCGCATACGATTCGAATCTGTGGTGAGGAGGTTTCTGCGAATGGGGAAGGCGTTCGAATCGGTGGATGCGATCGAGCTTGTGACGGAGCTGCGGCGGAGCTTTGACGCCGGTGTGACTCGCGGGTACGAGTGGAGAGTGGCTCAGCTCAAGAACCTCCTCAAGATATGCGACCACCACGAGCCGGAGATCGTTTCTGCCCTCCGCGACGATCTCGGCAAGCCGGAGCTCGAGTCCTCCGTCTACGAGGTCAAACCTTCTCGCTCTCTTTCTCCATCTATGGTTTACATGCTTTTGCGCTGGCGATTTCGATTCCGTGTCGTAGTTGATTGGATCTCTTCATCAATTTCGTGTGCTTCAGTTATCTTCGAATATGCGTTGGATTCTGAATTCCGTGTTCGAACTGGATTCATATTTTTTTGGTGTTTCTGTGATCTGATTGAAAATTCCGGCGGTGAAATTCCGTTCCGATTTCCCAATTTCTTGGTTGAATTTGAGGAATATGTCAGTGCCGACGTGCCGTAGTTTTGGAGCTACTGGTTTGATATAAAGTTTTTTGGCTACTTTAAGTTGTGTCTCCGCAGCATTTGCTCTTGTCACATTCCTTCTTGCCTTTGATGGGTTTGATTGCCCACTTGGAGGAATGTGGCGATTCACAGTTCTATTCCGACTTTAATGCAACTTTTTCTGTGTTTTCGGATCAACCAACATGGCAGATGGATATATAGAAACCATCAAAGACATTGATAGTGTCCTCTTGAAAGCAACCTACCCATGCATTCATTGTTTCTGTTTTAGTATTGCGGCATTAACTAACCACCTACTCCTCACAACACATGTCTTAGGACTACTTGCATATATAGGGTGTCGACAATCGACATATGTTTTCGTATGCTTTTCTTTTCTTTTCTTATTTTTTTGGTTACTGGTATTTAAGATGCAGTTTGAGCGATCTCTGTCAATGTGATTTTATATGATTCTACTCGTTTTTCCTGCTCAATAAATGTTAACGACGTCTCATTCTTCAATTGTCAACAATGGCTCGTTTTTTGGGTATTAAATACAAACGTTTTCCTTATCTTATTCCGGAATATGGGGGCAGGAATCATATTGTTGGAGACATCTCTGATGCATTTGGTTCTTAGATCACGTGGCTGGAAATATAAGTAGAACACCTTTGTTATGTTGATACGTGCATATGCCGTTTTGTGTCTCTTTCCTCTCTGTGACGTAAACTGTGTTAAGGTCATGCATATCATGTGATCGATGCGGCGGTGCAGGTAGCCCTGCTGAGAAACTCGATTAAGTTAGCACTTAAGCACCTAAAAGACTGGATGACACCGGAGAAGGTGAGGCTTATGCTGGATACTGGCTTTACTTGTGTTCTTTTGTTGTCCAGCTGACAAGTAATCTGTTTTCACAGGCAAAAACTTCTCTAACAACCTTTCCTGCGTCAGCTGAAATTGTGTCGGAGCCTCTGGGGGTTGTCTTAGTAATCTCGGCTTGGAATTATCCTTTTTGTATGTTGACTCCACCTGACCATATTCTTCACCGTTTTAGTCTTGGTCTTGTTACTATTTTGTCCGTGGTTATTCGTTCTGACGCAGTCTGTTTTTCCCGCAAGTGTTGTCTCTTGACCCTGTTGTTGGAGCAATTGCCGCTGGTAATGCTGTTGTCCTGAAGCCATCAGAAATTGCTCCAGCTTCAGCATCTCTGCTCGCAAAGTTAATGGAACAATACCTAGACTGCTCCGCCATAAGAGTTGTAGAAGGAGCTGTGGCCGAGACAACTGCTTTGCTGGAGCAAAAGTGGGACAAAATATTTTACACAGGTTCGTACTTTTCCTCTGTAGTTATTCGGAAAATGATGCATTCAAACTTCCTATCAGCTCCCTAATGTATGAAAATAACATCTTACTTAAAAAGGAGAGCTAATATAGGAATGGAGTTTAATAGCATCTCTTTCTGTATTCAATATATGGAATTTTGTTTAGTGATGATGACCCTGGTTTAGGCTGTCAATTTGGGATACATTTTTGGTGTTTAAATTCCAAATAAAAGAAACTCACTGCTGATGAAATCTTCTGGATTTGTTTAGGTAATTCAAGGATTGCCCGAATCATAATGGCTGCAGCAGCGAAACACCTCACACCTGTTGTCTTGGAGCTGGGAGGAAAATCTCCTGTTGTCGTGGACTCGGGCATCAATTTGCAAGTACTAAATAGTAACCTTTTTTTTCCAGTCTTATTCCATTCGAATTCTCCAGCCAGAGGCTTTACACTCACACTGTTGGAGCAGCCGACTTCATTTGCCGACAATGCTGACAATGTATTCTTGTGTCTTGTAAGGTTGCTGTTAGACGCATAATTGCCGGAAAATGGGGTTGCAACAATGGACAGGCGTGTATTTCTCCCGACTACATCCTGACAACAAAAGATTATGCTCCAAAAGTGGTAGGTTAAGATGGATAATTGATATATATAATATATACCCAGAACCTGGGCTACACTCTCTGCCAATGTTTAACCTTTTATCTTGTCAAGATTGATGTCCTGAAGCATGAGCTGGAAGCATTTTATGGGAAGAACCCTATTGAGTCCAAGGATCTTTCTCGTATTGTGAACTCGAACCACTTTGATCGCCTGGCAAAGATGTTGGATGAGGAGAAAGTTTCTGGCAAAATCGTCTATGGAGGTCAAAAGGACAGAGCTAACCTGTGAGTTTCTCTATCTGTTTTTCTTTTTCACTGTCCTATGCATTTCGATCGACCAGGAACGTTGAATCCCTTATGCTTATGTTTTTGTCACAGGAAAATCGCTCCAACCATCCTGCTTGATGTACCGAGAGACTCTCTGATCATGAGCGAAGAAATATTCGGCCCTCTCCTCCCCATCCTCACGGTAAGAACGACACCGATTTCATCATGACTCACTCGGTTTGGCCTTTAGAAACTTAAAAAAGGTAAACCCGTTCATTCGTTTTTGTTCTGTACAGCTCGACAAGTTGGAAGAGTGTTTTGAAGTGGTGAATTCCAGATCAAAGCCGCTTGCTGCATATCTATTTACCAACGACAAGAAGCTGAAAGAGAGATTCGCAATGAACGTCTCTGCCGGAGGCGTAGTGGTCAACGACATTGCTGTTCACGTAACCACTCCACTCGCGTGCTTTGTCATTATATCGCCGAAAACTCGATCTCATCTCAATGTTTTGCAGCTTGCTCTTCACACACTGCCTTTCGGAGGGGTCGGGGAAAGTGGAATGGGCTCATACCACGGGAAATTCTCGTTCGACGCTTTCAGTCACAAGAAGGCGGTTCTGTACCGAAGCTTTTTAGGTGACGCATCGATGCGATACCCGCCCTACTCCCGAGGGAAGCTTAGATTGCTCAAGGCTCTTGTCAACAGCAATCTAATGGACTTGCTCAAAGCTATATTCGGATTATCTTAAAAGACACAAACTCAGCCGTTTCATATTTATTTATCCTATTGTTTTGGTTTCCTGTTATAGACAATATAGGAATGGTAAATTACATTATCCGTGCTTGAACAACCAAACGCAAGTGGTAAATAAGAGGGTTTTGTGCTCAATAAGAATCGGACCAAACTCCATATAAAGTCCGAATGTTTGTTTTTACCAATGGTTTTTTTTTTTTTGGTGTGTGTGTTCGGACATGTTAGGATGATGTAGGAAAAGGGTTTCGATCATTAAGGGAAGATCCTTAAACGTAGAGTACATTAACACGACATAGGACACTAAGATTAAGTTGACTCTTCCCGTTTTGTCTATCACCTTTTAGTAATTGAAACCTTTAGATTCATCCTATAACGCTTTTCCTTTTTCCTTTCGGAATTCACATTGTTGTGGATTGTACACTCGATTTCTCCGACGAATCTCTTAGCTCGTTTCCAGAAAATCCGGAACGTCGGTATAGAGCTCTATACATAATCAGAGGTAAGAACACTACTCTGTTAATAAAGTAATGTTGTTCTGTTTGCCTTTGCATACATCTTTTGTACAAAAGGTATCCATGGTGATTTACGATGTCGAGAAGCAACAGGTCGAGGTCGCGAGCCATTCCCACAGTCTCGGAGATATTCACCAAACCTTGATCGGATCCTTACGGAGTATATAAAATATAAAGTCTTAATGCTAGAGAACCCGCTGTAGTGATAGAAAGCATGAGTATAAAGTGTCTTAGAGTTTGCTGATTGATGAGCTACAAGGAGTTTTACATCTTCTTTCACATAAAATTCTCTTTCCCCTCTTGACTAAAACATCTGATTAGACCATACAATCTCAACGTCAAGAGTTCTACGAGGGCCGTCTTTACTGCTGTCCTGACCGAGGCTAAAGGTTCCACTGTACGTTCCTTCGGTCAGAACCTTGTCGACGGGGATCGTTACTCTTCCAAGAGTTCTCTGTTGACAAAAAACCAAGAGATTCGTGTCAGAAACCAGAACGTGTTTTAAGCGTAAACATGATTCAGAGAGATCCGAATTTGAGTATGAGGTACATTGCGGAAGAGGTTCTTGGTTTTGCACAGAATGTGGAGAAAGTGTCCACTCGGAGGAACAGCAAAGTCCCATGTGAATGATTCCTTCCAAACTGGTGAACTGCTTCCTCTTACCACCTTGATGCAACAATGGAACGTGTTAAAATCTCAAAAGATTTCTCTATTGGTTCCGAGCTTTTTGTTCTCTGGAAGGCAAAGTTTGAAACTTTATAATTTCAGAGTTTTGAGTTCGGACAAGATCTGGTACCTGGGTTTGTTTGGTGGGACAGTTGTCGATCGTCAATCTACAGAAGGGATTTGTAGAACCCATGGAGTTCTTGAGATTATCACCTCGATGGATGGAGACAACCAAGGTACCAGGTAAACAGTTCAAAAGGCTATTCCCTCTCTGACGGAAACTGCCCTGAGGACGAGACTTCATCATCATCTGCAGCACCGGGATCGCCTCCGCCGCTAGAACCGCCTGAGATCTCGCTGTCTCCGTCGACATGCTCGACCATGACTGCCTCAACGTGTAGAGCGTGTCGAGCGCTGCCTCTCTCGCCTCCTTGTCTCCTGATTTTAGGGCTCCGATCAGATGAGGGATGGCCATCGTCGTCGCTTCCGATGATCGGAGCTTCGGGAACGTCGTCAGAATCACGTTTAGCGTCCTCACCACTTCCGCGTTTATCGTCGCCGTCGTCCAGAACTCTCTCTCAAGCGCCGCTGCGATCAAATTGGTATTGAAATTGAAATTTATCCGATTTAGGGTTATCTCTGGTACCCATGTTGGCATCTTATGGGTCGGTGAAATTAGGGTTCAAGTTCAGGTTTACGAAATGGGTTGGCATCAAAATCGGACAAAATATGTCAAAATCTTACAGATCAAGTTCATGGGTCGTGGATTAGACACCGGAAACTTACCAGTTAGAGATTTGACGAGATCTTGAGACATGTACTCTTGAAGCGTGTGGTTGGAGAAGAGACATTTGATCATCAATGCCGCTTGAGCAGAAACCTGCGGGTTACAGGACATGAGCATTTCTTGAACCAGCATGATTCCACCAGCTTCAGCCACAACCTTTCGATTCGTTCGGCTATGCATCACGAAGTTCTGCAATGCACAGATCGCCACCATTTGTATCTCCTGGCTCGACACGTCCTCTAGCAAGCTGATCAATGCTCGACATGCAAAGGCCGAGTCCGTAGCTCTGGCCAGTCCTTCGTGTTGACCCAAGTTCCCTAAAGCCACCGCGACCAGAAGCTTAGCCGATTCTGATGTTGTCTGTTGATCTAAAAGGTATTCGGACAAGGGTGTCATCACGAATTTGCAGATTCTCATCTCTCTCACCTTAGGGTTGTTCAGTATCATTTCGACTAATCTTCCAGAAAGATCCTCGCAGTGGTGCGATCTCAACAAGTCGAGTAATGCATCGATTGCTCCGGATTCAGCCATGGTGATTACGCTCGAAGCTTCGAACTTCTCCCGGATGATCAACGCATTCAGGGCTACGATCACTGTGCTCTCTACTGTTGAGAACAACATCCTGGAAAGAACATGTAATGTTACTCTGAAGAAGTATTGTTCTGGGTTGGATCTGAGGATGTTGCAGAGAACAAAAGCCACTGATTCCCACAGCTGAGTCGGAAGTTGAGGATCTTCGTCGGCTATAACCTTTGAGAGCTCGAGAATTCCTCCGGCTTCTTCAACTTCCTTTGGCCATGTAATGGATGAAGCCTGTAATCCCTTTAATGCTATTTCTTGCAAGGTCCTTATTCTGATCCCCGAAAGTTTCACGAGTGGATCGATGAAATCCTTCGTTACAATATCTTCTTGAAAACGCCGTTCTAAAAGAAGGCGGGTCAGGAGTTCGATCGTCGCATGTTGTACCGCTAGGGATTCTGACTGAAGCAGCGGTACCATAGGTGTAACTATGGTTGCAGATGCCATGTCCAAAGAATCGAGAACATTCGGCTTTTCCAAGATGTTGGTTATGGCTTGTAAACCGCCGAGCTGACCGTCCAGGCTCAAGTCTGGTCTAAGTAAAATTGAGAGAAGTGGTTGCACCATTTTTATCGCGCTTTGGCTCCTAGCTACAACGCCGACGTTTGTTAGGATCCGGAAAAGCTCGGCTATTATGGAACACAACGAATTCAGAGGAGATCTAGATAGTTGTTGAAGGGCTTTGTCGATTATCCCTGATTTAACCAGATCCAATTTTCTCGATGTCTTATCTTTTGCCATCTTTATGAGACAAGATATGGCAGCCTCACCGATCTTGTAGTTTTCGTCAGAGACTAATCCGAGACATAGATTCAGACATTCATATCCTTCAGCTAGTTCGGAGTTTTTGTCATCCATTAATCTGTCAAGCGCGACTATCCCAGCTTCGACCGAATCATTAATACCGGATTGAATGAGTGATATAAGAGATTCCATGCAATCTGTAGCCAACGACCTTGTTCTGAAACCGTCGTTCCCAAATATAATGTAACACAACTTGGCAGCAGTCGTCTTCGATTCAAGCGATGAACCATTCGAGGACAAGATCTGGTAAACGTTTTTCAACGGGTTTCCTTCGAATCCGTTTAGAATATCCATTTTTGGAACCTTCCCAGAAGTTAACGTAACCAATGTACCGAGAGCGGTTTCTCTCTCCATCTCCGAGGTCGTGTTTAACATATCGATGAGGGATGGAAATGCTTTCCAGGCAGATTCAGAGTCTCTTATGTGCTCAGATTTGAAAAGCTCTCGAAGAGCTCTAGCTGCACTATAGCGAGAGCTTCTAGACCCAAGATGTAGAACTGCAATGAGCTGTCTCATCGAGCTAATGGCCGCTTCATGCTGAGTGATTTCCAGGTTTCGAAATAGCGATCCGAGAAGTTCAGATACAATGATCTCGGTTGAATCTTGAGGGCTCAAAGACAAGTACTTTGCTAAAAGATCTAGAGCTCCAACCTTGGCCATTTGTACTTTGTTTGGATCACTCTTATCCGAAATACGAGTTAGAATCCGAACTGCCACAGGAGGGGCATCAGGTCTATTTGCATTTGGTTTTAAGAGATCGACCAATATAGGAATATATTTTTTCGCCATTGATCCGCCTCTTATTCCTTCATCTTCGAAAAGCTCCATAAGAACAACTTCACAAGGGTTTTGTTCGAGGCAGAGCTCTTCTGATAAGGCGACAAGGCTCTTCATATCCAAATTTGAGTACCCAACAGAATTTATCAGACCGTCCACTATGTATGAATTCGCGATTTCAGTGTTGGTTCTTGTGTTCTTGTTACGCACGAGGGCGACCAAAGCTTGCGCGGTGAAGTATCTCTCGATGATCTGATCGGATTTCATCAAACGGGCGAGAGTTGGGACAAGTTGTGTCGTTGCAGCAGACGAGACAGTGATCGGTTCCTGAAATATTATGGCCAGTAATGACGTTGTGATCCATATTCCTTCTGTTTCTTGGGCTGATTCCTGCGAAAACAAACAATAGGTTTCAACAACGTATACGGATATTCATATCGATAAATGATTAAAGTACATACCGTGATATTTGAAGTGTATCTTTGAAGCTTCTCGGAGATCATTTCGAGTCCATTGGCTTCGATGACGGCGAGTCTGTTCTTCGGATAGCAAGAACAAATGCAAGATAGTAACCAAATGGCGATTGTACTTCCTGGGACAGAAACTGGATCAAACATCTCAGACTCGCCTGTGCTCCGATGTAAGAAAGATCTCGGTCTCTGGACTTCAATAGTGTAAGAAGCGCCTCGGAAATTCTGTTTTGTTGCCATATCTAGTAATGTGGATACAAGGCTTTTCAAAATCCCTGATCGATCAAGAGCTTCTACCGACAGGTTCTTGTCATTCTTCACTGCGCATATGAGCAATACCGCTCCTCCAACTCTGGTTTCCGGGTTTGGTGAGTTCGTCACCCTGTTCGCCAATGAACAAATCGATTTCAATCTCGTGACCAACAGCTCGCCCAACCGGATATGTTGTGTCCTGCAGAAACGTGACAGGATCTCTATCGCCTTGTCTTGAACCAACGAATGCCCTTCTCCGACACAACGGACAAGAGAATCTAAACTCGAGGGAACATCAGAAAATGCTGAGAAAGGATTAACGTCATATTTAGCTTGAGCCAAAAGCGAGATTACTTCCAAAAGCTCAATGAACGTGTTGTTGTTAACATCAACATCAGTTGCGTTTAATAGATCGATCAGTCCAGGAACGGCGAAACGATACTGATCATTCCCTTTAAACACATCACCAACTTGGAAATGCTTCAACAACTGATGAAGAGCGTGTGAGGCATTTCTCTTACCCTGAAGACTTCCTTCTCTTAACACTCTTGTCAAGACTGAGACAACATCTTCTGTTAATGCTTCGGCCGCTATGTTTGGATCCGAGAGAAGGTCTGCGAGGGTCGAGATAGGATTCTCTGCTATCTCGATCGGGGATATCTTAGCTGATTTTATTATGGGTTTGATCACTTCGCTTTCTGCGGGATACTGCTTCTTCTTCGGAGCCTTTTTCTTGGTCGGGTTGGATAACGAGCCCAAGGCTCGGGCTAAGTGTGTTGCGACGGCGTGAGTGTTTCCTGTGAGAAGTTTCGAGCCGAGATTCTCGCTCTCGTCGATGCCAAGACAGTTGCAGAGATCTGGTCTTGAATTGAACAAATCAGCCAAGACAGAGGCTGCATTCTCCTTCATCTTGTCGTTCGATGATGCGAGTGTCTGAACAAGAGATCGCAACCCGTTATTAGCTGCAGATCCCTTTTGAACAAAGTCCTCAAGAGAAGCTGACGCAAGAACGTGGCCGAGAACTCTAGTCAAATGGACCTTTGATTTCGAAGTATCCGCCAGAAACAAAGCTAAAACCTGTTCTATCACGGACGAATCGGCTGTGCTGACAAGTTTCATTAGGGCCTTGGCTGATGTCTCTTGAGATTTTGGTCCGCCGTTCTTCAGAAGCCATAAGAACGCTGGAATAGCTCCGGCTTTCTCGACACAGACACGAATTTCCTCGCTGTGACTGCATAGGTTCCATAGAATTCGAACTGCATCATCTCTAGCCTTATGAGAAACTCCTCCAGTCTTTAGTATCTGAACCAATGGAGGAATTCCGCCCGCAGAAGTTATGGCCCATCTGCTTTCATCGACCTTATCAGTCAAGATCGCTAAAAACTCGACGGAAAATTCTTGATGTTGTTCAGTGGATAACCCGAGAAATGGTATAAACATTTGAATCCCTTCTCTCTTTCCGATTGCTTCCCAAACATCTCCTTGTCTGCATAGTTGTGACAAACAGGTTATCATACGTTCTCGTAGGTCCGCGGTGGTGAGAATCGTGATCCCGACTAATACTCTCTTCTCATCTGCATTTTTCAGCGATACCGAGATCTTGATGTTTCCATATAGACTTGTCATAGCCTCCAAGATACGTTCTTGGATCAACTTAGTATCCCGAGGTTTCAATAGATTCACGAGAATACCCTCTATCTGTGTAGGATCAAATGTTTCGTGATCAGAACTTGGGTCAAAGATCCTTAGGGCGTAAGCTAGGGTGCCGAGAATATCGGCGACGGGCTCGGCTAGACGTGGAGACAGAGATAATTGCCCAAGATACACTATCAAGACAGACAACCCTCCACACAAATATGCCAAAGTCTGTGTGGCATGACGCTGTAAATCTCGACCAATTTCTTCATCTACCGATACTTTAGACGGCGCAACCACAGCTCCAATGAGGAGACGGATACCGTCCGATTCTCGAACTACCTTCTTAGCTTCTTCCGACTTCGACGTGATCGCTTCAAGAGCGTCTATAACGCTTGCACGCACGAAAATGTCGTTCTCCTCGCCTAGAAGCTGAAGCAAGGCTTTGATAGTACCCGATTCTATGATTCTCGGTATGCTACTGTTGAAAACCCTAACCAGACGAGCTAACAAAGACGCGGCATTCGACTGAGAAACCGCGTTTTTGGATTGGAGAAGGTTTAATACGACGTTTACGCCTCCTTCTTCGAGTGTATGCGTCCAAAACTGCTCTTTATCGCTGCAGAGATTGCTCAAAGCTCCAAGAACATGCCCTTCGACGGTCTTATCGTGGTTTTTCTTCCTCTTCAGCTGATCCCACAAACTCGGAACCACGCCTTCCGTGACGAAAATCTTACTACCGACATTGTCATCTCTCATCCCGCAGAAAGAAACCTCATACAAGGCAGCGGACGCAGCTTTCTTTGCATCGACGGATTCAGATTTCAGAAGGGATAACAACGGCGGGATGCATCCTCCGATGAGGACTTTGGACCGTAGATTCTCGTCTTTGCAGAGAACGTTGAGGATTGAGGCGACGTTGAGTTTGGCAACGAGGGATCCATCCCGAAGGAGGGATATGAAAGAGGGCATTGCGTGAACGTTCTGAGCGATCGCCCTTCGGCATTCTCTCTTGCCTTTGACCAGACCGAGTAGACGAGCCGTACTGAGCTCCCTCTCCGAGGAAGATGACTTCTTCGAGTGAAGCTGCTCCACCAGACGTGAGATTGTAACCATCGCCTTCTCTGGATCATCCATCTCTGTTGATGTTTTACTGTTTTCTCTGTAAAATTTAGATTATAGTTTATATATATCGCGTGTATATATATTTATATATATAAGATATGAAATATAAATCTTAATAATTCTGGATATTACAAAACTTGAATGAAGAAAGAAATGAAACCTTGAGTGAGTGTCATGTTGGTGGGAAGAGGAGGGAGGCTTCGACATTTGCGGTAGATACACACACAGACTTTATTTACAACTCCTCCACCCGACTTTTACATATATAAAAAAATTAATATATTAGCAAAACAAATTGCAATACGCTTTTAAATATATATATATATATATATATATATATATAATAAGATGTTTGACAAAATTAATATCTTCTCTCTTTCAGATTCAAGATTTTCCATCGGCATAAATGTTTAATGGATGATATTAGTTCTTTTATTGTGATTTTCCTCGTACATATACGCGTAAGATTGATCTTTTTTTTTTTTTATATAAAGCAGATTGATCATTTTCTTCCTTCGAATCGATAAAATTGCAAGAATTGATTGAAACAATTTCTTGAAAAATAAAATTAAATTGTAAATAAATAAAAATACCTTGTGTGTGTATGAAGCAAACGTGCTCTACAGCTCCGTCATCCTCCAAGATGCTGCAATTGTTCTTTTTTTAAAAAAAAAACGAAAATATTAATTAAATTAATCCGTTTGTATTCCAATTCATAATTAAGAGGAAAGAATCTTTTCATTGTTCATGCTTTTTTTTATAGAAAAAAAAGGTAGGGAATTCAAGAATTAATTACCTCCTACGTTTGGCTTTGCAAACCCTTCCTAACAAAACAAACACAAGAAGAGAAACCCGTAAGACTCCAAAGGTTTTTTGTTACAACTAAAAACTGGGATCGTAAATTCCGACAATAAATACAAAAAGATTTCCTAAAATTTCTCATTTTTTTTTCATATCCTATTTTTTAAGCATTTCTATTTTAGGAAAATTAAAGTTATTCCATGACATGGATTTGGATAAATCAGACGTTTCTTCTCCTTTGTCGGTTATTTCAGTTGGGTCATTCGAAACAACGAGACAAACGTTGAATTTCTTTAACGTTGACCTTTATATATATATATATATATATTTAAATTTTTTAGTAATGAATTAGGAGTTTAAATTGTACAAGAATTTGATATTTTACGATGCATAGAGGAATATTCTGTTTATGAACCCTAAAAGATATTGTGATGGAATTTACAGGAAAAAAAATAGAATTTCCAGCTAGATGCATATCTGTGTCGGATTAACAAAATAACCAAAAAAGTATTGAAGGATATTTGTTTCTTTTATTCACAATATGATCTACTCCCTTCAACTTCAACAGTTGTCAGATTAACAAATTAAGACAACAATTATTTATGTTTTTTTTGTAAGTTATAAATATTTGTTATATAAGTACATCAAAGGATATTATACTAACTGTGAATAAACTATTTTTGTTGTTATTATTAATAACTAATGAATTTTGATATATAATTTATTTTTTAATTTTTTTGTAAATTTTTAAATATAATAATTTATAAAATTCTAATATTGTGTAAATTTTCTATAATTTTAATATTTCTTCCAACTAATAAATATGCAATACCTGCATGAGATTAAACTAATTTGAAATTCCATTCTAATATTTATTTTATAAATAGATTCTCCATTTCTTCATATTTTTTCAAATTTATACGATTTTTTATTCTTAAAAATCTCTATAGTAAATTGTCAACCACAAGTACCATAAATTCAACAATTTTTAGGAGCGAAACAAACCCAAATAATTATCAAAATAAATCTAACGATAACTAGAATGAAACAAATGAAAAAAATTAATAGATTAAAATTTTAGTGATGTGAGTTATTATGTATCTATTTTCTCAGTTTTTTCTATAAGAATTTTAAAATTAAACTTGATTGATTTAGAATATTATTTAGAGTGCGACCTCAACTAAAAATTATATCAAATTATAATTTTTTTTAAAATTTAAAATTATATTATCATATAAGTCGTTTCATCATCATGTCATTATTGTAATTAACCATTTTAGTGAAAATTAATAAAACTTCAAATATCTCTCATATATATATATATATATATATATATATCAAGATGATTATATTTTTAATAAGTTTTAATTTGATTAAAAAGTCAATATAATAAAAATATAACGATATATAAATTCCAATATTATAATTTTGTATAATTTCAAATAAAATATTATTATATAGAGCGAGATAGAATATTTAAATTATTTGATATGCATATTTTAAATAAAATAAATATAAATATAATAGAGCATAATATAGTTGCATATATCTGTTCCATGTAATGAGAGGGAATGATTAATCTGCTGCAATGTGAACATTTCACTTACTTTTATTACGTATGTATATATGTATGTATGTATGTATGTGTTATTTGAAAACCTAAAACTCTGCCAATTTATTTTCCAAGAATGGTTCTCCGAATAAACCCGAAAAATTATATTAAATAAAACTATGTAATAGTGGGATATTGAATATTCTAATGACAGACATTTTCTAGAAATATTTAGACAATTGATGACTTACTTATTAGTCTTAGATACCATATTATCTCAACATGATGGGATTTTTTAAATAAATAAACCTTTAGAATAGTTTTTTTAATAACGAGGAGGTTTATTGAGCCTTCATCTCATTTAATCCTTTGATAGAGATTTGTCTCATTTAATCCTTTGATGGAGAATCAGTCTTCAGTCACATAATTAATTATGTTTTTTTCATTTAATCATACAATTAATTACGCCTCCACGTAATTAAATAAATAAACTTTCAGAATAGTTTCCTTGTTTTAACTGAATGATTTTTTTTTAATTCTCTATGCCTTTTCTGATTTTTTTTTTCAAATTTACTCATATTCTATCATAGTTAATAAGAAACAATTAATAATATTTAAAAATAAACTAATAAAATGTATTTTGGACCAAAATTTTTTTTTTATTCATAACCAAAAATATGCTCGAACAAATCATATTAGATGGGACGTAGCATAGGATTAATATAATGAAATTCTTATTCATAACCAAAAATCTAACAATGAAGCATGACGGTCCACAACCAGCCAACATCCACCGTCCGATCGGGACATTGCCCAAAAGATCGGACGGTCCACAAAATTTTATCTCCCAAGTCTACCGTGGTCCCAAAATCGGCACACTCATTGACCGAACCATTCATCGGTCTCGTGTTACCGTATGAGCGTCCGTTACCCTACATCTGCTTCGGCATGTACATGAACATATCCTGCAGCCGCCACATCTGATTACTCCCCACGAACGCATTCTCCGCAGTGGCATCTATGTAATTATACCCAAAATCAAGGGTATTAGTATTACCACTGCTTCCGCCATTGTTGTTGCTGCTCACTGCCCAATCGTTCCACTCTGCCTCGCTCTGGACCTCGCTGGTGAATTCCGGAGACACCACGTGGTCCGAGCAGCTCGACTCCGTGTTCAGCTTCGGCATCGAATCCGACGTTTCGAAGTACACGAAATCGTTCGTCGCCGGATTCTGCGGCGGAGGCATACGGTACGGATCCGCCGTCATTTTCGGCTTCTCCTCGACCAGCTCTGGTATCGCCGGGAAATTCCCGACGCCGCTGTACATCGTCGGTGGTCGCTTCTCGATGATTCCTTTCTTGTTGTATATGCGGCAAAGCACCCAATCGTCCAGCTGGTGAAATCAAAACCGTCGGATTAAGCAATCGAATCGAAATCGAAGAAAGATACCAAAATTTGTAAACGGATTTTTGAATGTTCATACCCTTAGGCTATGATTTTTCTTGCGAGCAGATCGGTCTACGTCGGCAAGGCGGTATTCGTGCATGATCCAGTTGGTTTTCTCTCCCTTGGGGGCTTTACCGGCGTAGAACACCAAAGCTTTCTTGATCCCAACCGGTTTAGGTAAACCGATCGGTTTATCCGCCCCCGTCGCCTTCCAATAACCGGTTCCAGCGGCTCGGTTCGGCCGCCCAGAAAATCCGG